GGCTTTTTATCCATTTAGCCAAGGAAATTACATTGTTGAAGATCAAAAATAAAACAACGCCAGAGACAATTACACGAGTGCGTGCTAAACAATGGCTATCCGATCGAATCAACCAACTATTATTTGCAGCGACATCATAATTTTCTTCAAAACATGCTGCTGATTAAAAAAGAAAAGAAACCTCGAAATTAACGTAGACAAAGAATTATTGAAAAAAAGAAAAGGGAATTTGAAAATTAGTAATAGGCAAAGATGGAGGTGAGGCTAAGGATCGACGACCGCCTCTCCATAACAGGAACAAGCGACCATGCTGATGAGGACCTGCATAGGCAGGACTCGCGCTTCCTTATTGCGGGCCGCACTGGCAATCTCGTCGGCCCGCAAGGATATCCGGTCCGTCATGTACTTTTGCTTGTGCAGAGGCACTCCGGCCCTCGACAGCATCCCCGAAATCACCGACTCCGGCAAGTTGTCGCTCTCCGTCCTCGGGCATGGGGCCCAGAATCCCAACGTCTCCAAGTCGGAAACTCGTAAATTAGGAGCGCAATCGTCGTCGTCGTCGTCGTCTTCTTCTTCTGAGGATTCCACTGAGGGCTGCGTCACTTCGACTTCAATGGCTATGAAGAACTGATCTGAATCAGTGGAATTTGGTGGGATTTGGAGATTATCGGCCTGAGATGCATCGCAATAATCATCCACCGGTTCGTGGCAATCCATAGAAAATTTGTATTTGTACGCGAGGTAGAAGGATGAGGTAGGGTTCGAATTCTATCTATCGTCTGATTGAATGTGCCTAATTCGAATTAATATATAAAAGTATTTTCCCCTCATATATTTTGCATTCAGTTTCCTGATTTCACTCCGATTTTATTCCCATCCGTTTTTGCATTCAATTTCCTAATTTCAAATCTCTATTTTACATTCCATATACCCATTTTACCCAAATCCATAATTGGCTTCGTTATTCTTTTTCCCTATATATATAAAGGAAATCAAGATTTTTTTTTTTTGTTTCCTTATTGACAAATTTATAATTGTGACATTATCACTATCATATTTCACTAGTGTGCATCCCGTGCGATGCACGGCGGGATTATTTCTTATATTTTTTAAATTTTATTTTAATATATTAGCTTGCTAATCGTTTATATTAATAAATAATATTTCAATATCTATATTTTTGTTCATCGTATATAATACTCAACTATCATTTTTTTTTTAATTTATTGTTGTATAATGTCATTGTTATTATTATATATAACACTTATTTGTTATATATATAACGATAAATATTTAATATACATTAATTAATATTTTTTAATTATGTAACTAATTTAAAAATATTTAAACAAATTCAAAATAATTATTGTGCCATATATGGTAGATGATTTTTATGAGCACCAAAATGGTATTCAAATCTATTGGAGTAAATAACAAATCTAAATATTAATCACAATTTAGAGTAGAAAATTAAATTTGACTAATATTTAAAAATATATTAAAATTTGATGAGTGAACACAGATTACCCAAGTTTATTAGTTGGAGAAAAATGCAATGTTAAACAAAAAAAATTAGACTATTATTCCAAAACAAATATAATGAAATTCCAAGATTCCCGTACAACTTCTCTCACTATCCTTTTCTTTTTGGAATTTAGAACATGATAAAAAAAATTCAGAATTTTAACTTTCCCAAATAAAATTCAATCGCTTCTCTTTTCGAAAAAAGCAAGGAAATCAAAAGCAATCGAATCCAGGTGATAGATAAAAATCTACAAACATTTACTGGAACATCCACAAACACACACATAGACGGACGTGTATATGGAAACAGTAATAAGCTTTTATTTTTTAACACCAATTACATCATCGACGCGAAACCCGATGACAAATTCGAAGATGGTGTTGATGTAAATGATCGGAAAAGTGGGCTCCAACGCATCTAACACGACGATCGTCGTCAACAGCGGCGCCCGAGAGTAGAATAGTCGTTCTGCCGCACATGAAGCCACTTCAGCCCAATGTCCTGGTCCATGTCTTCGGCTTCATCGCTGCACTTGAACCGCTTGCGGAGCAGGTGACCTGGTTGCTCTTCGCCTTCGCTTGCTTCAATGATGAAGAGAAAAATGAGAGACCAAGTGAAATAATGTTTAGTTTTTCTAAAGATAGTTAAGATGTATTATATGGAATTTAAGATAATGATTGTATCACAAATAATCTGAACGTGATACTTGATCTTTTGGAATATTTACACGATCATAAGAAAAATATGGATTGGAATAAAAATCGGAAAATTTACCAAAATAAAACGTGAAAAAAAAGGCGAGTGAATTAAAAATGTACCAAATCGGATTTAAAGAAAAAGGTAACAAATCTCATCTCATCTCATCCTAAAGAAAAGGAGTTATAACAAATTTAACAAAAAACAACCAAATCTCATCCTAAAATAAAACAATCCAATTTCCTTAAATCACATTCAAAATCAAATTATTTAGTTAGGCGGGAAAAGGAAAAAAAATTGAAAAAATCATTTAGAATTTCGAAATGTTTTGGAGGGAAATATATTTTCCAAAAACTTATTTTTTCTTAACTCTATTTTATAATAGTAGATTCATTCATCTAGTAAAATGAATAATAAATTTAAACATGATTCTGGATTAAAAAAAAACGGAAAATTCATAATAAATCACTAATACACAAAATACTTTCTTTGTCAGTCCCCACTAAATTTATACTTCATTTGCACTCCCTATTAATAATTTCTCTTTCCATTTAACTCCTCATATATATACTGTTGCTATTATTATTCATTTATTTTTGCCTAAATCATAAAAAATTGTGCATTTCATTTGTTGACATCCGGATCGGTCGGGTCAGAATCAAACGGGTCGGCCCCGTGAGTTATATGGGGTCGGACTCCTGGGGAGTGCCGGGGCGATCAGAGTAATATGGAGCCGACCTGAGCCAAGGAATTATATGCAGTGCGGGTCGAAGGGAACGTT